TTTTTCGTAAGCAAAAATTCTGCTTGGCAAAAGCAAATAAATATTAAATCTTAAGCCCATAAACTTAATGTCGAATACCATATTCGTACATATACTATATAATCGATGCCATAGAGATGGCACGCGGCCTGTGACAGGAGACTCTTTAAAATAAATATATGTATATAGTTTGTTTTTGGGCTATAGTAAGAAGATTATAGCTTATACGAGAATCTCAATGGGTTGTTGCACAGTTTTTCTTGCTAAAAGATTGAATATAATTTAATAAAATAAAGAGATTTCGGAAAAAGGTTTTGCCGGAAAATGTTATTAGAAAATTCGTCAGGAATGTATAGAAAACCAATATATATATACATTTTTAAACGCTTCAAGGATTATATGGATCTAGCTACAATTATACAATTTAATGAAATTGGGAAAAAGTAAGAAGCCTTGACTAGACTCGGGACTTGTGGAGTTCAAGGTGGTATGGGTGGATTTGAATCTTTCACAGTGGGAGCACCAAACATGCCACGGGCAAGGCCGGGGAATACCGACTGTTGTCGCATATTTGAGCAAAGATCATTTGAAAGTTACGTCTGGCTGTGACGTGTGCTGAAAATGTGGCCAAGATAAATTGTTAACAGCTCTTATGAATGATATTACTCACGCAAGCAAAAATAACTCGAATGTATTTAACATTTATATGGAAAACAGCTCAAAAATTATAAAAGCATTTTACAAATTTTCTGACTAGTAATTAATTTAATTTTTTATTGATTCTAAAAATCGTAATACAACATTTTGCCTAATAGCTTTAGTTGATAATTTCACATCACATGTTTAGCTGCTGAGTTCAATATGAAATTTTATCACGACGCAGAAAAATGAAGAAAAATCATTAAGCAAAACTGAAAAACGAGGCAGCAAAAAAAAAAAATGGCAGCGGGGTGCGGGGGAAATGAAAAGAAAATTGCATTTATTTTTAAACAAATTAATTGGCCGCTCGCCAACTGCCATAAAAACGTTTGTGTTTTGCTAACTATGCGAGCGACAATAACAACAAATACAACGAACAAATTCTTTAGCATTATGTCAAACAAAAATATGTGTAGATACTTCACATACACATACATATGTCGGAGAGCAGAGATATTGCAAATTGGAATTTCCCACGTTGAAATGCCGAAATAATTACAATGCCAATTATAATTCTTAAAAGGAATCAAATATATATAGATATATATATATATATATATTGTGTGCCATACACAGATTATAAGCGAATGTGCAAGACCTGTTTACGTTCAGAATGAAAATAAATAACCAAATTCAAAATCAAAATCAAGGCCAATGTCGTCTCAACGGCTCTAAGTAGCTTCCACTAATGCATTGGATCGGCCGATTGGCTCGATTGGCCCGATTGCAATTCCAATCGCAAATGGCATTAATGCATGTTGGCAATTTGACAAAATATAACCAAGTGCAAGATTCGATAAAACAATAAATAAAAGAGGAATATCATAAACAAGCATTCACCACTTGCGAAATACCCTGTGCACGGGTAGCTGCAAAACTGGGCCATGCTGGCCAAATTCTCTGGAATTGAATTGTTTCAATAAAATTTTCAAAATATCTGATATATATATTCTTTATCAGCAGCAATAGCCGCATCGATCTAGCCTTGTCCGTCTGTAGGTCCTTATGATCGCAGAGCCTATAGGAGCTAGAGCTAGGCAAATCGCGATAAAAGATATCTTCCTCCTGTTTCGAAATTCTATTTTAATTTAGCAAATCTCTTAGGATTGAATGTCCAGATTCTGCAAACCTTACATTACGCTACTAGAATAGTACAAACAAATCAAGCATCTTTCATTTTATAACCGACTTAAGCGCTTAGCGTGAACTGCATTTGGGTATCAGGGTATCCCCAAGTCGGGCTCTCCCGAATAGAGCATATTTGCTTCTTACTAGGCCTGTTTATAGTAACCACTGTGATGGCTCACAAAAGGGCACAGAAAATATGGACTCGGCATTGAACATGTTGGCAATAGCTTCTATTAGCCCCTACTGGAAGGTGTGAGCTATCAACCCATTGCATATTTTACAAATACAGGGTGTAGATGGCGTATAATTACATCCTCAAAACATTCCTAAACAACTCACGTATTGTATTACAAAGTAAAATGTAAAATCTAATTGTATTTGCTGTGTCATAGAAATTGAATTGATTTTTGCTTTTGCCATTTAGTCAACTTTTGTCACAGAAATTAATTTTCTTTTAAGCAAATATTTATCCATATACGAATTATAACCAACTGCTGTGGTTATTAACAATGTAGGTCAATGGGTTGTATGACCTTCATTATCAGCACATTTCGTATTTCCATTGATAAGCTCTGATTGTTGATTAGTTGGCCAACTTTCAAATGTTTGTACAATTTTCTTGGCCCTTTCAAATAAGGCCAACACGAAAGGGCAAAACAGCTGTAAAATGCGTGCAAAGTGCAAAATTAATTTCTGTTAAAAGTTTATGTTAATTGCAATTTGCATTTTGCAATCTAAACAAACGGATTTCACGGAGCGCCGAAAATAAAATCCTATTGAGTAAACAAAAAATTAACTGAGCGTAGCGCAAACAATATTTTAAAATTGTTTTTCATATTTTGTAACTAAAACAAAAGGCTCAAATTATGTAAGAGCCAGAATTTAAAGATTTGTGTATTCCACTTGAAATATGTTGCAGTAAAAAAACAATTATAAATTCTTTGGGAAATTTTAAAATTTAAGCTAACTCAAGCGACTGGACAATACTCTACTTCAGGCTTGGGAAAAGTAAATTGAACTGATTTTAAAACTGAAGAAAATCTCTAAGAAAAAAACAAAAATTATTATTAAATAGGACTTCCACAGCTTTTCCGCTAAAGCCATCCAATTTGTTTAATTCATTGCTCAGCCTGTAGACTCAGAACAGAGTATCGGGAAGTCAGTAGATTGCGACTACAATTATCATCATTTCTGGACTTACTTTGATTCTAATTGCATATCATCCCATTGATTCTGCCATATTTACAGGGTGTGTTCTAGTTCAGCTCATTTTCGACTCATTTAAGGTTCTCGCTGTTGAGTTTCGATTAAATAATGTTTCAATGTTTATGTTTACGCAAAGCTGTTAGCATAATTTGACATGCTGCATTCGGGCTACTTTTTTCTAATTTTCTTTTCCACTTGCGTGCTTTAATAGTTCACAAAAACAAATAATTTTAACGGCTCGATTGGGGGAAAAAAAATTGTAAAACATTAAAAATAAGCAAAAACCAGTGTGCAGTCCAATATTGCGCACAAGGAATCGAGTTGAAACATTTGGCCGGTTCGGCCAGTTGTATTACATACCCTTGCACAGTAGAGTACTATGATTTTGTCAAGAAAAGTGAACAGCAGAAGGTTGCGACTGACTATATATACAAGGTATTTATTAAGCCTTGTCTGTTTGTCTTTTCAAGTGCAGAAAAGTTTCTCAGTTTTAAAGCATTTTTCGTAGTTAGGGGATCGAGGCAAAATAGTTGTCATAGGAAAGATCTGTTAAGAGTTAAGCTCTTGTATACTAAACTTATTTGTTTTTAAGCTACCTTGTCGAAACTCCACACTAACTTGTTTCACTTGACTTCTTATATAAAAAAGAAATTCCATCAATATCCGTTTGCTTTCTCGTTAAAATCTCTTGAAAGATTGGAACACAGAAAAATCAAATATCTTCTCTCATATTTGAAAAGAGTATTTAATCTTCGATATGCCGCAAGTTTTTTCTAGTTTTTTATTTATTTATTTAATTTTTTTTTGGCAAGTCGGCCTGGCCAGGCGGTAGAAACCATATTAGCCCGTAATTATTACAAATGCCTATATTTAATTTGTTTTGCTTGTACAAAATTTCATTTGTGCGTTTTTTGTTTGTATTTTTCCATTTCTGTTTCTGTTGCCGTTTATTGATTAATGAATTTTAGTCGGCGGCAAAGCACACAAACAAATAATCTTTCATGCAATGCATAAACTAATATTTCACTCAAAATACATTTTCTGCAGCGTTCTGAAAACACGTGTGTGCTCAATGCTATATAAACACAGGCACCACAATACCTGCACACATGCAAACATATATATATATCATACATATATATGCCCAGATTATGGCCATATCTATAGAAGATCAATTCACATTTTGCGTGGGTGCGTGGTAGTCGTTTAAGTTTCGACCTTTCATTGTTTTAAATTTTATATTTGTTGCAAAAAGAGCTCATTAAAACGCGAGCTCGCATATTGTTTTAGCCCAGAATTTATGCGCCTGCTGTTCAGTTTTTTAATGTATATATGCATATATCATTTTTGTTGTTGTTTGTTTATTGTTTTTCTGAGCAGCTCTCAAATTGATGAGTGGAAAATGTTGCCCATTTGAAAAGCTTCTAATTTGCATGTCTCTAGATAACTTTGTATGTAAGTTGGAGTTTCAAAAACAAAAATATATTAATACGCTCTATACAACCGATTACACAGTTTAAAGAAGGCAAGAAGCTTTTCAGACAGGCTTTAAGCATCAAGTAACAAATTTTGTAAATAAAAGCTTTAATTTTCCCTTCTTGCCTTTAATATATATGAATATTGTACTCGAACTTTTCACCAAAAGCTTTCTCTAATCCAGTGTAAAATGTAAAAGTAGCTTAAAGCCTTTTACTAATTACTGCAAGCAATAAAATTCAATTTGTATGTAACTTTCCTTCTTAACTAATAGTTTTCTTTAAATCCAGTCTAAAATGGAAATGCTTCTCCAAAAATATATGGATATTGTACGTCTGTTTCCTTTTTCTAGCTTTAAGTGTAAAAGTAGCTTAAAGCTTTTATGTTACTACGGTTACGCTATAAATTTTGTTCATTCGAAACGTGTACTTAACTTTTTCCAACAGATCTTATTGTAAATTATATTAGTCTTGATAACCTTAACAACTATTTAAAATATTCATTCGACTCACCAGTTTGCTTTGGTAGAGAGTAAAAATCGAGTGTTTTGATTTCCGATGTTTCCACATGCGGCGCGAATCCCTCGTATAAATCGCTTTCCTCCACAATGCCGCTCAGCTTGTCGGCCTGCGCCGATGTATCGGCGCGATGGTAGGGCATCTTCTTAGCCAGTGTTTTCTTCTTAACTGTCTCCGTTTTTGAGCAGTGTATGCCTGTGGCTCCTTAGTAAATAGGTGTGTTAGCAGTTGATTTTCTTATTTCTTAAGAGCTTGCGTTTCGTTTCGGCGCAATTTCTGTCGTTATTTTCAGTATTTGTTAATTTTGTGACTAGATCAACTTTATTTGCAGTTGGTTGTGATTTTTTGTTGGTTTTGCTGTTGTTGTTGTTGTTGTTTATGTGGCAGTTATGGAGACAGAAACACTCCAATACGATGATGCCGCGCGGAATTCATTATAATGAACGATTTAAAACAAATACTGCGCGAGCATATTGTTGTACATAATCAATGAGTGGCGCTTCAGGGTCTGCAAAAGATAAGAAGAGAACGGATTATAAGTAAAATAGGTTTAAACATTTCACTAACTGTATTTAATCATTGCGAGGTGCATTTTTAGAACCAGTGCATGGTTCTAACTGACTTTAAAATACGCAAAAAAGAATATTGGTTCATAATAAAGTTGTCACAGTTTCTGACAAAGTGTTGAACAAAAAACAAAAAGGTTTGAAAATTCGCTCAGCTTTTGATGTAAAAAAAGGTTATAGATTATAAGTGAGGTTTATGTTGAGATAAGCCTTACTTTGCAGATGGATCCGATCGAAACATTCTTATTGATTTGGAGCATCAAAAGGTATAAAAAAAAGGGTATAAAACCTCCAATAGGGTATAAAAACATCTAAAACAATACAGCTATAATGTGGGCTGTGGCCTGTGTGGCTTTGGCGTCAGAGCGTCGGGCCAACGAGCAAATAGCCGCCGGTTCAAATTCAGCAGCAGTTGTCAATGCATGCCTTTTATTTGTTATTATACAATAATAATAAAAATAAAACAGTTGCAAAGTAATAGTGGGCAAACAAGCTAAGCTAAGCTAAGTTACAATTTAAGCTGATTTCTTGCCAAGACTTTTGGGGCATGGATTTTGCTGTCTCAGCGGGTTTTCAGTCAAGACAAACGGCATGCCGGCTAGTGGGTTAAAAATCTTATCAGCTTATTTATTGTTTATTATCATTTAAATGTTTGGCATTCCAAGTTACGCCAAGTAAACAAAAATCCGTGTAATCCAATCATCATTCATCAGTCAGACAAACGAGCGGGTGGCAATGAATCCATATACTTTTTATGTGCGTCCGTATATATATATATATATAAATATTTGTATATATATATAGTCCTTGTCACTCACACCCGCACGGAGGAGATCTGAATTGGACGATTGGTTCAATGACACGCATGAAAAACAACTGGGAACATTTCAATTCATTTGGGCCAACACAACCCAAATTCCAATTGTAGACAAGGCGTCGGGCGTCGGGCGCCTCTGGGCCATAAAATACATGAAACGGCATTAAATGCCAGCAGCAATAAAAATCTCAACTGGCCGGAGAGTTAAATGTGCGGCATATAAATACAGCCTGAAAGTACTTATGAGGCTCCCAAATGTCGCGTCTTAGTCAACTGACGCTGAGGGTGGACACGGCCAGCAGCCGGTTCTGATTTCGATTTCAGTTTCGATATCTAATTAGTATTTGGCAAGCCCGCAAACCGGCACAGATATATCTCGATTGCTCATAAAAAATACCTTAAATATATATAATATACGTTGCCGCAAATACAAATCACTTGGAAGTACGTTTAAAATAAATGTCAGCCAATATTTGTTTAAATGAACTTGCCGAAAGCAAAACAAAAAGTTGTAAAAATCAATTTTGCATTAGAAAGTCAATTTGGGAAATTATTGTGCTGCAAAAAGTATAAATAATTATAAACTAAAAACAACTTTTTTCTTTTTATTAATATTATTAATATTTTTTTAAGCCTCTTTTGATTTGCTAAAAACAGAAGCTTTTGTGTAATATAAGGCTGCAGAACTCTTTAATTTGCGATCAGACAATGACAAAATATTTCGGATATATAAAAACAAATATTGCGACTATGCGCACTGCATAAGTAATTATAATAAAATATTCATTTGCACACGCTGCGTATACTCATTTGCTTTAATTATGCTACACGAATGCAATATTTATGTGCTAGATTCATTAAGATATATTTTAATTTGAATATAAATGAAAGTAATTCCATTAAGTTCCAATACAAATTCCAAAAGTCAATTACAAAATGCTAAACACTATTTTCATATACGCTGCGTATACTTAATAAATATATATTCTACAACACACGCTGCATTTAAGCTCAATCCAAGCGAATAATACTAAACGAAATAACAACTAAAAGTTTGCCGCCTGACTAAAAACCGAAACAAAAACATGTAAATGTGCCCGCGACGGGAAAGTTCGCCTAAGGGATACCCTGTACCTTTTTCTAACAACACCAAATGGAAGAATGTGTCAGATTTGGTGTTCTAGCTTAAAACCAAAGCAGCATTTCGATATAGATTTTTATCGATTGCTTGGAAACATTGTAAGTTATCGACTATCGAAAAGAAACTCGCGCTGCGCGGGAGGATCACGCTTCATATCTGTAGCTCCTCTAGATGCAGAGATCGACGTGTTAATACACAAGCATCATACCCTTTTTGCCCATTTTCAGGGTATTAAAACGATATAGTTTTTCAAATATTTGTATTTTTGTTTTGTTAGTTTGCTTCTGCGCGTCGCGTTAAAATTTTGTCGAATGCTTTCATTTCATCGCCTGTGCCGCAATTCGCATGCTAAATAACTGCGTGGAGGGTGCACGAACTGCCCTCTCCCCGCCAGTCTGATGCCCCACGCCCCACTCTCACGGCTACTGTGAGTAAAAACAAAAGCTAAATGCGAAAATTGAATTGCAAATTTCAATTGAAATTCTGCGCACGTTTCAAAAAACCGAAGCGACCAGCAACAAACACTGAAATAACAACAATAACAATAACAAGAACAATGCGAGTTCAACAACAAATACTTCTTTCAGTTTCATTTGACACTTTTAATGATTTCGCTTGTCAACAACATTCAGTTAGTTCGCAGAGTTTGGGGTGGCGGCTTTTTGCGAAGTGTGGGAGGGCAAGCGAGGGGTGCACATTGACGAACTAGACAGACGGGCCTGATAGATCGTTGCGTTCCGACTGACTTGACAAGAGGTGTTAAACACACACAATGTGAGAGACAGCTGCCTGCCAATCGAGCAAACACTTATCGGATTGATAAGGCTGATAAGGTGAGGGAGACAGGGGGGTGGGGGGGTGGGTAGAGTAAAACAAACAATAGATATTTGTTAAATTTGGTCAGCACTTAATTTAGTAACTGGCAGTAGTGGGAAAGGTAGCGCTGATTAAATGATTTATGTACTAGTTAAAGCTACATGATAATCGCATTAGATTATAAATTAAATCTCGTATTTTGCAACTTTTGATTTGTCTAAGAGCGAAGCATAAATAAATTTAATAAATACATTTTTGATTTTTACCTATTGAAAAGATATTACTTATTATTTCCTTATATGTTAAATGAAACAAGCATAAGCATGTCCACTTACTTTGGACAAAGTTGATGAAGTTTATTAACTCAAACAAACTGATTATTCGAATTTATTGCAGCTTATCAGCGATACAATTTTGCTGCACAGGTTTGAAGATAAGTTAATTATATAGACACAGATTAATTAAAGAATTTCTAATACAAATAATAAATTCGCTAATGACAGAATCACGTAATTATTCTAGTTAGAAATTGGTTTCTTACCTCGGGTAGCTTATCAAAGGGGTCGCACAGAGCCTCAATATCAAACTGATAAAACAAACTAAAGATCGCGGGCATACAAGCTTAATTGGCGTACAGTAAGGCCTCATTAGTTGGCAATAGTTGCAATTTGTGCTTAAGTATATAATTTAATTTGAATCCATGTGCAAACTTCATATGTATGTCAATATTATGCTAGTTTCGCATTTCAAGGTGCCTCGACTCTCAATTTATAACTGTTGCAAGCAACAATTACGAGGGACAGAGAGATGGAGAGAGAGAGAGAGGGGCGAGGTACATAAGTGCATATATAAAAAGACTTGTATATAGAGTTATTAGCAAATGTTTACATTTAAGCTATGTTGACTGTGTTTCGCGAGACATTTGTTGACTCGACGCTTGCAATTGACAAATGTTCGTTATCAAGTCGCAAATGTTGCAGTTAATTTAAGCAAATGCAATCAAATCAAATCGAATCAGCGCTCAGGCAGGTTTAAAAACTTTAAACGAATGCCGCAAGTCAATTGAATTCAATTGGACAAACGCAAATGACAAAAAAGACAAGAAAAACCTAACGAGATAATAATTGCTTTTACATTATTTGATTAGTCCGCCCTCAAGAGAACCAACAATACGAAGCACAGCAAAGCGCAGCTAATTAAAACGTTTAGTCGCATCGGAGGTCAGCCTGCCTCTGCCACGCCTGCCTCTGGCCCACTCCAAATAGATATGGACAACGAAAATTTAAACAACACGACTCGACATGCACGAACATGTGTGATGGAAATAATGCTCAAGGCATTAGCATACTCATTTAAAAATTAGCTTAAAAGTTTATGGATTTATCCCATGCACTATCTACAGAAGACAGGCTCACTTGATCTGAAACTTGCAGATATTGCAAAGACATTCATAAAGCTATCATACTCAAAAAGTGAGTTAAACTAAGTTGCATCTCGAAATTGTGAATTATTGAGTTACTTCACAGTGTTGCAAAACGAAATTAAAAAGCAATAATGTTCGTGTTCAACTAAAATTGTAAAAACTCAGCATTGCAATTCACCAAAAAAAGCATATTTGTCATAAAAATAAATTTTAAAATGTTTGCCACACTTACTGTCAGCATTAAGAAACATTTTGTAATATTACTCAAACAGGCAAACAGAACAGAGCTTTTTTTTAGAAATATGACGCAACATTTATGACGTCATAAAAGTGTTTGTGGTCACACAACAAAATTTGCCTAAACGGTCGCGTCGCCAAGAAACAGCTTCAAATTATTACAGAAAGGAAACAAAATGTTAGAAAATACAAAATAATTAGTTATATCGAAGTAACAACAGAAAAAATGAAACTAAATACTTTGAAGATAATTAAATGTATATAAATATATATTCTTTCAATCTTGTAGAGTCTTATAACGTACATTTTGTATATTGATCCGCGCGCAAATGCGACACGTTTCCACATTTAAATATAAGTATCTCCGTCTAAAGACAGTTGCTGCGATTAAACATGGCGGCTGCCACCGGCAAAGTGTCAGCACCTATTGAGTTTTTCAGTAGCCGCAGCATAAACAAGTCAATTAGTTTTCATTTGCATTGCGCGGGAGCAAGTTGCTAGACACACA